TTCATCTGCCACACATCCTGGAGGCCCAATTCCACCAGTAAATTAGCAAATGGGGTAGGCTAAGGGGATAATTGTCTGCCTCTACCGCCCAAGGGAAATCTATCCAAACTAGGGAGTAAGCAATTATAATCACCTATTGCCAATAGGGAAACATCAGGATGATTGGCCATAAATTGAGCTAGGCATTTAATGACCTCTGAAGAGTAAGGCAGAGGAATATATACCACAGCCACTATGCAGTGAAACCTATTCAAAATACACAGCAGGAAAATATACCTGCCCTCCGTATCAATCCACTCCTGAACATGAACAGATTGATTTCTCGGTTAGCCAGTGCAAGAGGGATCTAAGTACAGCCTGCACAGTCTAAGTCCAGATCAGTAGCGGAGTCCAAAAGTTGTTTCTGGGAAGTTTCCCTGACAAAGCAGCCTGGCAAAGAACTTTTGAGCAGCCTCCCTCTGCTTCTCCTTGGATGCACAAATCAGAGTGCCAACAGCTTGCCCAGCAGACTCAGGCAAGGCCCGAATTTCTTTCCCCCTTTTAGCCATCTCAGATCAGGATAATCGGGGCACCAAGTGACAGCAGGGTCGGGTCGGAGCACACTCGAAGGACCCAAGATGCCGTTTTAGCCAGAGAACGAGGTGCCAATCAGGATAAATGACAGGATGCAGAGCGGAGCTCACCGAGCACACATCCTACTGCATGAGAAGCTGGCCACGCCCCACCCAATTTGTTTTTTAAAAACTATTTTTACCTTTTTGTCTCTTTTGGAACATGCCTGTGAGCAGACTTCTTTGAATAATCTGAAAAGTGCAATAGGAAGGATAAACTGGGGACAGGCTCAGTTTCCTACCATTAAAGTGTTACTAAACCCAAAACAGTAAAATCAGTCTTTATATGCAGTAAAGCATATTTGTTATACTCATTGTGAAACCTAAGGGGTTAATCCAATACATTGTGTAAAAAGGCTGTTTGATCCTGACTTCTCTGATCCTCCCCTTTTTCCAGTGTTCCCCTCTTATCTCCTGATAAGACATAAGGTGTGGAGACACTCTGCACATGCTCAGTTTGGTGTATATTACTAGAGATGTTTTATTTTTTTTCTTGGGAGAGTGCACAGCACAGAGGCAATCAGCACTGCCCAGACTGAAGCCAGGGGTTCTGCATCCTCATAGAGCAGAAAGAAAAATCCTCCTACAAGCTGTAACCAGCGCTCTGCTGAACACTGATAGAAGTCACAAAACTGCTCTAACTGTTGATGAGAACAGATATTTAGCAGTTTATATTTACTAGAATTGCATTTCTATGCTCTGTGTACTGTGGGAGACCAGATATAGTGAATGCAGGGTCCTGAGTTTAGTAACACTTTAAACAGAAAATGCAGAATCAAAGCCCTGAGATCTTTAACCCTTTCTTACAACAGACTGCATTTTAATATAGTTTACGACTGATATCGAGATCTGCCAGGACAGTACAAACAGGAATAAATATGGTAAACAAACTGCCCAACTCCTCCAAACTCCTTAACATAACATGCAAGTGAAAAACTTCAGTTTTTAGAAAAGAGCAAGTAAAAACATGTAACATTTGCTGCTTGTATTTTTAAGTTTATGCTATGTGAATGGAAACCTATAACTAATATAAAGTGGGTGTTTTCCTATGTTGGCTGCAAAAGTGGAAATATACTTTAAACTATTACCAAGATGAAGTAGTCCAGTTCTCCATATCTCTATTACCAGAAAAAGAGGTGAGACAAAAACTCCAAAAGGAGAGACAAACAGCATAAAACAAAACGGTTGTAACTCTTCTCTGCCCTATATCCAAAAATAAGGAGTTTTTGTGTTCACTGTAAAACCCTTTTCTTAGTAAGCCTTAATTCTTTAGGTTTTTACTGTCACCTACATGAGGACTGGATGCTGGCAAACCAAAAACTGTATGGTGACATACAGTATGGACCATATAGGACACAGGATGTGTAGTCCTAGACCATGGAATATCCCCAAGCAATAAACTGAGGGGTGGTAAATAATATGACAAACAACGGAAACAGACCCACAAGGATCAATGGACCCTATATACTTTCAGTTGAAGCACCTTGCACCCTAAGCTCCCATCAGCAGAGGACTGGAGATCCACCTGGTAAAAGTTTGGGAAGTTATGAACATAAGATCAGGTTGCAGCTTTGCAGATCTGAAAAATGGATACTCAATGCTAGAAAGCACTAGAAGCACCAACAAATCTGGGCGAGTGGGCCCTGATAAGGAAGGGGGGGGGGGAAACCTGTTCTTAAGGGCATAAGCCCTGGAAAGCTGTCCAAGCTGCTTGGCTATATTGGAAGAGGAAACAGGATGACACTTCTTAGGACCTTCAGGTAAGACAAAAAAGGGAACACATTTTTTGAAAGATGTTGCAGATAGGTAAACCCTAACTGCTCTGACCACATCCAGACAATGAAGTAAAATCCTTTTGGTGTCCTTCAGAGCAGGACATTGGGAAGGGAAGACAATATCCTCACTGAGGTACAAGAAGACCACATTGGAAGAAAGGAAGATCTGGGTCTCTGGACCACCTTATCTCCTTGTAGGAGAAGAAAAGATTTTTTCGCCAGAAAGAGCCGCCAACTTAGAAACATGCCAAACAATGGGATATCGTGGGTTGGTTGAAAGGGAAATTTTTGGAGAACCCAACGTACTAGATTTTGATGCCAGAGACACATCAGAGGTCAAAGTGGGTGATTAACATGAGCCACACCTTGTATAATGGTCTTAACAAGAGTGTGAAACAGAATGGATAAAGGCAGAAACCTGCCCCTTTAGAGCAGGGGTCTCCAGACCAGAGGGCCAGTTCTTCAAAATGTAGGAGATCCAGATTGTAGCCAGCGGGAGTAGAAAATGTCCTTGCATCAGTGGGAGTAAACAATGCCCCATCTTTGGTGTCATTGGCAGGAATAGCGCCCTATCAATTGTGCCTCATCATTGGTGTCATTGGAGGGAATTGTGCCCTATCACTTGTGTCAGTGGGTAGAATTCCCCATTGTTGTGGTCAGTGACGGGAAGCATGCCCTACTGTTGGTGTCAGCGGATGGAGTAATGACCCAGGGACTAGATAAAGGCAGGCATAGGGTCGCAGTTTGGAGACCACTGTCTTAGAGTACTAAATGCCAGAGGCAATTCTAGATCACACTGGAAGAGGGCCAGGCAAGAACTAGAATATTGGTAAAAGTGGTAAGGTGCCTGCACTTTTGCACCAGCTAAAACAGGCCTTCCAAGTATGTTAGATATGACTAAAAGCAGATTTTCTTGCTTTAAGCAAGGTGAGAATAAGAGGAATCAATAATAAAGCCAGTGGCCAAGAAGCAGAGTGGAATAGGGGGCCTGACAAGGCTCGTCTTCCAGAAATCTGAGCATGTATGTGTACTAAGTTCTCTTGTGACACTCTGTTCCCCTTTTACCTTGTACAGCATTCGATACAAACACCAGACAAACTAGGTCCAAGGAATCACCTGGGCATCCACCGCAAAGGCAAGGGGATCCTTGGATCTAGCCACAAATATATACCATTTCTTGAATCTGGAGGCCATTATGTGCACACATCTGGTGTTCACAACTTCTGAGAGAGCACCGGGAAGATATTGGGGTGAATGGACCTCTCCTCCAAGTCCAAGTGATGGCAAGTGTTTTGGAATATGGTTTTCAGTCCAGGAGAGAATCAGACTTGCCTCCCTCAGAGCTGCTTGACTTTTGGTTTCATCTTGGTGGTCTACATAAGCCAACAGTATTCTTACTGGGTGACCGTGCAGAAGGATCTAGTGCAGGACAGCAATCGTCTGGTGGTATGGTTCCTTTAAAATAGCATGAACCCAATTCATGAAAGCTTTCTGACGTTTTTCTTGCTAGTTCTCACACGTGACAGATTCTGGTAGTTTTAATTCTTCGTCTTTAAGAATTTGTCAATATGGATGCGGAAACCAATGAGAAGACCAACCCTGAGTTAGCCATTGCTCAGAGTGGGCGTGTATAAATATCACAGCTTCTGACACAGGGCTCCATTCATTGCTATGAAGTCGGTGGCCATCGCTAACCTACCAAGTGATGATTCATTCCCTATCCCATTCAAATACCAGCCAGGAGATTCCCAGCTGATCGCAGAATGTAAACTATGGGGCCGTGATGATTTACTGGTTGATTTGACACTGTTGGCTTAATAGCACTTAGCAACCAATGCTACTGTGCGCTGGACTGAACCTGTAATGTGTATAGAGTTAAAAAAATATAACCCTAAATATATATACTGTAAAAAACATAAAAGAAGGCATGTCAACTTTAGGTATGTAACAAAAAAATATTCACTAGCTGACTTTACATAAAATCTAGTGTATTTAGAGCCTATGTAGTTTAAATAGTATCCCACTCCATCTAAATAGTGGACACAATCTGTTCAAGTAAAACAATTCCTGTAGAGCCATGCACATTGCAGCTTAACGTTTGCAACGTTAATGTTAGTTCTAAAACCAATCCACTTAAAGCGGTTCTTCACCCTCCCCAAATATATTTTTTTTGCTTACCAGGTTGTGCACAATTCAGATACTCACCCACCCAGAGAACCCTTAATTGTCCTGCTGATATCCTCTTCTACCATGCTCGTTTCACACGCCTCATTATTGTGTGACGTCATCGGAAGGCTGCTGGCACTTCCAAACTCAGCCAGCGGGCCTACCGATGATGCACCACTAGGCACGTCCCCTCCGCTTTTAGTGAATGAAAAACTGACTCCTGCTATATGTGAAGTGCATACAGAGAGCACAGTTTATGTAATTCACCTAAGCTGATGAGCTTGGGGAGAACTGAAACATCTTTATAAAAAAAAAAGTAAACAAACCAAAAAAAGGAGCTATATTTGGACAGCGGAGTGGAGGAAAGGGGGAGAGGAGGGATGTTTATTTTCAGGGTAAGGATCCACTTTAATTGCAGGACAACACAGTGATGGTAACAAGGCATTACCTCTACTATCATCCATTTCCCCATCGCGAGAATGCTCAGACTGGGGGTCTGGAGGCATCTGGAGAACCGCTACACTGTTCTGGTTGATGATTTTTAATTTTAACTTTGGTTTTGACCGCCTCCTTCTTGGTGCTGTGATTGTTAAGCTCTGTAACTGTGAAAGTCCAGACTCTGTCAAGCACACTCCATCTTGGGTGAAGGTTTTGAGTAGATCTTGAAAAAATAAAATGCATAAAACTTAAGTCTATCATGCAACAATAAAAATGACATATGTAAACAAAACTTCTCACCACCTTATATCACCCAAAATAATAATTAAAAAAACATGGCAAACTAAATGTTAACATCAAACCCCCCCCCCCCCCCATATATTACAATATTTGCCTAGTTTTACTATCCCTAAAGTTACTGTTAGGTCTTTCTATAGCTGTTGAGATCTTATGATTGCAGCTTTTGACAATTATATATTACATGTTTAAAATGTGTATATTTGGCAGTCCCTGTTTGGCGTACCATTAACATAGTTGTGTGAAGCGGCCACTAAGATGCTCTACAAAATCCGTACCCAGTTATGCTGAGGTCTTAAAATGGACCTCATTTACCTGTCTGTAAGCAATAAAGCAGTTTAAAAGCCTTAATTAAAAAAGACCCTAGGTCACAGGCTTGTGCCGTCAAGTGATTGAACACTGTGAAGCTTTTAAGGATATGCCCTCTGGGTGCCTCCCCTAAAATCCTATCCCACTCTGTAAGCACTCAGTTTTGAAGCAAGCAATACAGAGTCAACCACGGAATAGAAGGGAGGATGGCCTGTATCTTGTACTCCATGATATGCAATTTCTAGACAAGTCAAAATCCCTCTAATAATAATTGTACAGTACAGGACACAGCAAAAGCATTCATAGATCCTGGGAGGTCCCCAAGCAATGAAGGAGAAGGGTGGGCAACAGCTAGAAAAAAAACTATGCTCACAGGCTCAACAACAAGGGTCAAAAGGCCCACTTCAGAGTGACGCTACTAGAACCTTGCGAACAAAAGCTGCATCTGCCTTGGACATCCACCTGGGAAAAAAGTACAAACAGAGGACCAGGTGGCAGCCTTAAAAAGCTGGGCTACAGGGGCCTGGTGCTGGGAAGCCCAGGAAACTCCCACTAACCTGGTGGAAAGGACACTTAAGGAGTAGGAAGAGGAGGGGGGAGGAAAAGATTAGTTCTTGAGAGTGTAAGCTCTGGCAATCAGATTTCTTATCCTGCGATGGTGGACTTGGAAGCAGGGTGTTCCTTGAGAGGTTCTACGAAAAGGGGGGGTTTGGAGCTTCCGCTGTGGAAGTAAAACCTTCCTGGCCGTGACATCCTTAATGAATTGGTCAAGTGCCTCCCCAAGTAGAGGTTTTCCTTGAAGAGGCATACGCGTGAGACTTATAATCTTGTGACTAAACGCCTGAACAGCTAAAGATGCTAAGCATGGGAATGGAGATTAGGGCCGTTCTGGGAATTTGTTCCACGGCATTTAAAAAAAAAGAAAAACGGTGTAGAAGATAATTGCTGTAGTTTCTCTGATACCATGATCTTGGAGTACAGAGTCATGTTAGTTTTTAGTAGCTCTAGTCCAGTTAGCTGCAGTATGACATAATGAAATTGCAGTAAGAGCCTCAAACTTTCTATCTGAAGAATCTTTGAAAGGATGAACATGTTCAATCGGCACAGTGAGATGTTTAAGACTGAGATGGCAGGATCAATTCGAGGAATAGACCATTGTTTAGAAAGCTCTTTGTCCACTGGAGAGAGTTTGGCAAAGATTTTTAGAGGAGTGAAAATTCTTTCTGAAGTGATTCAATCGTCATAGATTCCCCTATTTGTTTGTGAATGGGAAATGTCTGAGGGTCTTACAAATCTCTTTGTACTCAAAAGGGTATGGGGAGATGGAGTAGAATCAAGCTCCATATTGTCCAGGATTTGCAGACTACAGCCGTGAGCCTTTCCACATTAGCAAGCATGTTACGGGAGGCATGCTGGCTCGATGTTCTCTTCAAATTCTGTGTCTGCCTTGTCTAGATAGGTATATGTGGATCTGACTCGGGTACAGACATAGTAGTTAGAGAAGAGGTGTGGCATTTTTAAGCCCTGGAAAGAGATGGCTGTAATAAAGCTGTTATCTGTCTGCGGTATTGAGAGAGATGCAGAAAAAATTTGCCGCTTGTTACGTGCTTGAAATAGAGCTAGAATTGGATGCAGAGACCAGTATTAGAATCGTCTCTTTTTTTCCGGCACAAGAGGCACATCATCAGTCTGAAGTTAAGTGTTGTGAGGGCCTTTAGCAGAGCGATTGCTCGCCTTAGTTTTCCCATCGATCATTTTGCTTGCCTGGTCTCTGCAATAGCTACAGGTAAGGGTATTCCCCTGAGATGTACTCACAGAGTAGGATGCAGAACACAGGGTAAGCATGTCCACAAAGAGAATGCAACAACCTTTGTGTAGACTGTCCTGTAGTGAATCCTTGGGGCAAAAATAACGGATGAAGAGCCTGAGTACCATAAAAGGGTTCAAGGCAGAAGTGACAGTCAAGTGTGTGACCTGTAGTATAATAAAACGCCTGGTCATTCACCTGGGACAAGTGCTTAAATTTTAGCGCCAAATTAGAAAAGTTTACAGAAAAGTGAATACAATTCAAATTTATCCTGGTCTTTTACAGCAACGATCAAAGAATGCAGGGTGATCCTGTCCATGACACTGGAATGTAGATAATGTCCAAGTTATGCCTGTCATGGTGGGCATATCTCCAAAGGGATCTTCAGGGAGTGGAGTTCCATAGGGATGGGCCACAGCCCAGACCTGTATAGCACCCTGCAGCTGACTATACACAGGGCAGGGCAGGGCTGGGCAGGGCTTGCTAGAGATAACAATGGCTTTGAAAGAATTTCCAGACATTTGTCAAACTTGACCCTTAAACACTGCAAAGTCCTCAAAAGGAACAGTGTTTTTAAAAAAAGTTGAGCCTTTTTTTTTTACCCTTTAATAAAGTAAAGCAATTTTAAAAAATTGTTTTTTTTTTACCCTTTAATAAAGTAAAGCAATTTTAACACAATTGATTGACCACAATTCTGCCTGCAGATGGGAACACTGTGCAACTGATGGGCATTTAACAGAGAAGCTCCAGTGTCACTGCTGAAAGTGACATATGCCCAGTATTTCCAAGACAACTGAACACCAGCTCCTAATTACAGCTAAACAGCTACTCTCATACAGAGTGTGTTTATCTTATCAGGACACAGGGAAGATGTCACCCAAATCATGATAAACTATACTGTAGGCCATGGGGTGTCAGTAACATGCTGTGCAGAAGAGTAGTAAACTGATAGATCTGAAGATACAAGGGGGAAGTTAAACATTTTTGCCATTGAAAGGTGTAGAACTGAAGATGTCTAAAGGATAATAGGTGCAATGTCTGACTCTCCTTGTCAAGTTTGTAAGTCTGGCCAACAGTAAGGCCACCTGTCCCACAGGACATGTAGCACTTATACAGGGGGCACCCTTCCATTCCTACACACGCAACACCTACCTGGCAGACACAGGTACTGCGAGTGGCACTCACTGAGTTGATGGCAGCCTGTCTTACAGCTCCACCCACCTAAATGGGCTGATAAATGTGTACACTGTACATCCACACTCTTGAAGATTACACAGAAAACATACTGATAGCAAGGTGCAGTGTACCCAGACAGTGAAATGGATTTATTTGTTTGCAATTGAATTGACATTGCTACTATCTTATCTTTACAAGTGCATGTGTTGAAGTGTATTTCTTGAAAAGTATCCACAGTGCCACACAGTTGCTAAGTGGTTAGCACTTCTGTCTAGCAGCACTAGGGTCGTTGGTTCCAAACACAACCATGACACTAACTGCCTGGAGTTTGCATGTTCTCTCTGTGCCTGCGTGGATTTCCTCCCACACTCCAAAGACATGCTGGTAGGTCAATTGGATCATGTCTAAATTGGTCCATGTATGTATGTATGGATGGATGGATGGATGTATGGATGGATGTATGGATGTGAGCTAGGGACCTTAGATTGTAAGCACCTTGAGGGCAGGGACTGATGTGAATTTACAATATATATGTAAACAGATGATGGCGCTATAAAGTACCTCCCATTTTTTTAAATAAATGAGTATCCCTTGATGAATTTCTTCTTAAAATCACAATGTGGTTCAGAATCAGCTATCGCTGCCTCTGCTTATGGTTAGTGTTACTGAGCTTGTGTCTGACTGCCTTGTCTACTGTTGGCTGCATAAAGGGGGTTGCGTTACTGCACATACGCGCCTTACAAATTGTCCAAATAAATTATGCTTGCTAAAAGCACTGGGCACTTTGGATGCTTCATGAGGTGAGCATGCATTGTAATTGTTTAGGAGCTGTTTAGCTGTAATTGTAAGGATTGGCTTTGGAAACACAAATCACTTTCAGTAGTGAAGCAAGAGCTACTCTGTTAAAGCACCCACCAGCTGTCTGCACTAGGGGCGGTCTGCAGTTTATGGGTCCATTCACACTAGCCACTGCGTTGTGTTCCCGCAAGATCTTTGCATTGTTCACAATGCTGTGGTGTGAACGGGCACACAAGACAAGGTAGAAGGACAGTACTGGAATACCCACTCAATGCAGTCCTACTGGATTCAATGTGAATCAACCCTAGAGAGCTGTCTGCAGCACTCTACACCCGAAGCCTTGACCAGCAGATGCCAGAACATTCACTTTGTAAACCTTGGAGAACTTGTGAACAGAAAAGCAGGCAGTCATTTCTGGGGATTACCACAAATGACAAAGTGAGAGTCAGACAGTCGGAAGGAGGGATGTAGCTAAGAGGTGTAAACATGAACAGCTCATATCACATTCAACACAAAGGAAATCTCATTAGGATGTACAGGGGTTGGACAGAGAGACAGAATATCCTGATCAATTTTTTAACATAAAACGTTTTAATAAAGTTTTGTCTGTCCTAATCAATTTTAAAGGTAGAAAGGCAAGAAACCACCTTAGGAAATAAAGAAGGTCTAATCCTCAAGACAACCTTGCTAGGTTGCTTGCTCAGACACTTGACTAGCAGTGGTGATGGCGGCAATGGTGGAAAGCCATCTTGTGAGTTAGGGAAGGCAAGGCAGGGCAGGGCAGGGCTGGCAGGGCTTGCTAGAGATAACAATGGCTTTGAAAGAATTTCCAGACATTTGTCAACTTGACCCTTAAACACTGCAAAGTCCTCAAAAGGAACAGTGCTTTTTAAGGCAAAAAAAGGTTGGGTCCACAATGAGAACCATCCACTTCTTAGTAGACACCTCTCCCATGCAATATTGTGGTGTTTCAATATGTGTGTGTGAGTGTTGGGGGGGGGGCTAAATACTTATCCATGTGCAAACTACACTGAGTGCTATTTTAAATCAAAGGCAAATTTATTGTATGCCAGGAGATACTTGGCCAGTAATTCCGAGACGATTCTAACACTGCTCAGCAAAGAGTGGACTAATCTCCATACACAATAGCTCAAATGAATGGGCTGGAAAAGTTTTGATAGTCTTAGGATCTGTAAGGGAGCACAGACTGGTGACAGCAGCTGTTTCAAATGCAGTTGCTGCAGTTACAAATGCACATATCAGGTCAATAAGAATCAACATGATATGAAATTTATGTGATCGGCAGACTGAGTCTCCTCAGATACAAACTCACCACCCCAAAAAAGTGAGGCGACTTATCCATAAATGCTTGTGCAAAGCCAGCTGCAGGAATGTAAATGACAGACTCTGGAGATGTGGGTATGAAAGCATGCATACGGCTCTTGCATTCTGAGTCAGCTATCATGGGAGAGATTTTGTTCAAAAATATAAGGTAGCGCAGAACAATCCTCCCTGGCCAGAGAAAAAGAGTGGGTCACACCTGAGGGAGCTGGGGAAGACTTTGAGGTGTGAGTAGACTTCAACAGGGTACAATGATCCAAGCTATTGGCACTAGGTCCTCCAGGGGGGACAATGCAGGCCGTACCAGAGATGCTAGAGGATCGTCAGCTGGGAAGGCCTGTTGGACTGCTCCATTTGTGCTTAGGATCTGAAGGTTATATGGTCAGAGGTAGCCATGTTACTCTTGGGCCGCAGCAAGGAAAAATCAAGGGAATCTGTGAGACATCTGAGTGGAGCAGTGGCAGAAAAACAACCTCACACTGAAACGCTAGAACAGGCAGTGTAAGTGAGCCTGTAGCTGAGAGTATAGCGGCACATTCTCCAGCACATTAAATAAGACGTTCTAAAAATGGGTGAACTTCTTTTTCTGAAAGGAAAGGAAAAGAAACAATGGTGGACTTTTAAGGCACCCAAAATACCAGTTAAAACATACAAAGTTTTGCTGATACAAACATATTGTTTGTATGTTTTAACTGGTATTTTAGGTGCTTTAAACGTTCGCCAGATCGTTCTTTTTCTTTACCTTTGGTTTGAGTATTTTGAATGGGCACCAATCATTAAGGCCCTAAATCTCATTTAGATTTTTCTGAAAGGAAAGATCTCCATCTTCCTAGAACAACAGTAAAAAAAATGAAGAATTATTAGAGTGCAAGGTGTTATACTTGGCTAACCAATTGCTTTTTTTTGTTTGTCAGGGTCCAATCCCTCCTAAAGACAGCAGATTCAGATTCCACTGATCTTGTATTCCTTATTGAACGAAAATAAATTTTAAATTTCTTTCCCTGGAGTGACACTTTGTCTCAGTCAGTCTGTGCTGCCCAAAAAACAACATATTCTCCCTATAGACCTCATAGTACATTTACATTTCCTGGGCAACAGAGAGATTACACACTTCAATCTGAATAATGTGTATTTTGCAGCAACACATAATTAAAAATTTCTTACCAGGTTCTCTAATTTTTGGAACAATCTGGGCATCAACTGGAGCTTCAATTTCTTCTACAAAGAAAATTAAAATGTTTAAAAAAAAACCCCCAAACAACAGAACAATTAAATGCTATAGTACTATAACATTAGAAATAAGAAAAATTAATAATAGCGCCTATGGTCAAAATTATATAACTTACTAATAGTGTACCAGCTGCAAAAAATCACCATATATAAAGTGTACCAATAAATAAATAATTTGCGCTAGTAAATGTGTATAAATATATAAATATATATAAAGAAATCATCAAATCATAAGTCCAGAAAAAAATATATATATATATGCCAATACCACAAAAAAATATATAAAAAAACTTTTAAGTGCAAAAAACTTTTAAGTGCAAAAAAAGTGTCTAAATATGAAAAAATTTCACCAAAAAACCTTGATAATATAATGGCAGATCATCCATAAATATATCTTCAGAAACGGAAACTCTGCAACACACCGATCCTCATCGATCGAAATAACAGGATGAAAAACTTTGTAGTTAATCGAAAATCCACTTCTCCAATAGATAAAGGACCACCTTCAAACGTATCCATGGGGGGAAATGCCAAGCACTCGAGAGAAACAGAAAGACTTCATGGTGCAATATTATAAAAACCAATTCCTTTATTAGGTACTCATTGCACTTACTCAAGAGGTGTCCCAGCCGACACCAGCATCAACAGCATAACAGCAATCACATAAACGAGCCTGGCTACTCAGCACATGCGCAGTAGCTGGCAGCCAAAAACGTAATGATGTTCCGCTCCGTGAGGACGTCGATGACGAAACGCGTAGGGCGGAGCTTGATTGATGTGACGTCATTACGTTTTTGGCTGTCAGCTACTGCGCATGTGCTGAGTAGCCAGGCTCGTTTATGTGATTGCTGTTATGCTGTTGATGCTGGTGTCGGCTGGGACACCTCTTGAGTAAGTGCAATGAGTACCAATAAAGGAATTGGTTTTTATAATATTGCACCATGAAGTCTTTCTGTTTCTCTCGAGTGCTTGGCATTTCCCCCCATGGATACGTTTGAAGGTGGTCCTTTATCTATTGGAGAAGTGGATTTTCGATTAACTACAAAGTTTTTTCATCCTGTTATTTCGATCGATGAGGATCGGTGTGTTGCAGAGTTTCCGTTTCTGAAGATATATTTATGGATGATCTGCCATTATATTATCAAGGTTTTTTGGTGAATTTTTTCATATTTAGACACTTTTTTTGCACAAAAGTTTTTTGCACTTAAAAGTTTTTTTTATATTTTTTTGTGGTATTGGCATATATATATTTTTTTTTCTGGACTTATGATTTGATGATTTCTTTATATATATTTATATATTTATACACATTTACTAGCGCAAATTATTTATTTATTAGTACTATAACATTATGGACCATTATAACACATTCCATCAGTTAAAAAAAGGAGGGGGTACATCCCACACAGAGGTACAAATTAAAATATAACAACCTGAAACACACTGAATGTTCTGTAAAAACAACCTGTACTTTGTTTACAGTAAGCCTGTATGTCTCTGCATTTACCTCCCAACCACAATTTGCTGCAAAAGCACCCTGAAATCCCTAAGCAAGCTTTGACTTTCCAAAAATTAAAGCTTATTGGAGTACAGAAGTAAACTCTGTCTTAATTTTTTGAATGTGAGGTCTAAACTTCCACATTTGTAGAGAAACCACCAATCAACTACACTTATACAGAGGCAGGAGGAAGGTGTCTGTTGCTGTTAACAGCACCATGCCTATCCTGCAAATTTTTGTCCCTACATTTCAATTTTACCGCTTTACTCATGTGGGGAGACAGAGGGATGTAAGCCAGCCATAAAAAACCATAGCATTGCTTTGGAAAAGAGGGGAAGGATAGACTAGGTTCTGTACGGTTGTGTTTAATTTGCTAATTTTGTTGTGTTATGTTTTTGAATGTGGCCTGTTTTGTACCGAGATGTTCTTTAGCAAAACAAAAATGAATACCAAAAGGGACACAAGAGGTGAGATGCCAAGAGTCAAATTTTACATCTTGAACTATGTATAGTGTTAATACTAAAAATGAAAAATATTTCATGCTCCAGTTTTTAGTAGTTGATAAATACATAAAGTGTAATTCCAGTCAAATTCTAACTAAGCCTAATCCAACTCCCAGCCCCATTCTAAGGCTATTCTAATAAACCTGTGAAAGAAAAAGATGTCTATACTTACCTATTCTGAAGCACATGATCAGCTCCCAGTGCCGGCTTCAGTGTTGAGTAAGGACAACCAACAACGGATGCCCCATAGTAAGCCTATAGGGGATGGCATTGCCCAGGTTCTGCAGTTGTCACTAACTCTCCTCCACAATGAAGCTGATGCTAGGACCTGATCATATGACCAGACCAGAGCAGCTTTAGAATAGGCAAGTATAGACTTTTTTTTCTTTCAGAGAGTAGTTAGGATAGTCTTAGAATGGGGTGGAAGCATCTCTGGCTTAGTTAGAATTTGACTCAAATTTCACTTTAACCACTTGCCAACCGCGCTATAGCCGAATGACGGCTACAGCGGGGTTGTCCAGTTCTGGGAGGGCGTCATACGACGTCCTCCATGAACGCGCCCTTACGCGTGCCCCAACCGGCACATACCAGACGCTCTCTGTGACCTCTGTGTCCCATGGACACAGCTGATCACATGATGAGGTAAAAGGCTAATCACATTGGCCTTTTACTACGTGATCAGTGGTGTCCAATAACACAGCAGATAATGTAAATACAGTTGCCGATTATCGGCAGCATGAGGAAAGTACTACAAGTCCTGCCCAGAAGTGCCACCCATCAGTCCTGCCCAGCAGTGCCGTCAGTCAGCACCGCATATCAGTGCCCATCAGTGCTGCCTATCAATGCTGCCTTAACAACACACATCAGTGAAGGAGAAAAATTACCGGTTTGCTAAATTTTATTATAGAAACAAAGAAAAAAAAAACTTTTTTTTTCAAATTTTTTTGCTTTTTTTTGGTTTATAGTGCAAAAAATAAAACACCCATTGGCGATTAAATATCGCCAAAAGAAAGCTCTATGTTTGTGAAAAAAATTATAAAAAATTCATATGGGTACAATGTTGCATGACCACGCAATTGTCATTCAAAATGCAATAGCACTGAAAGCTGAAATTGACCTGGGTACGAAGGGTGTAAAAGTGCCCAGTAGGCAAGTGGTTACATTAGATGTTTGTTTTATATAGTTCCTATTTCCTCCCGGGTGCCACAGACATTACACAGGGGTCTCAACAACCCTGGATTTTTTAATAAACCTTATGTTACGGTGTTATCCATAGAAAGCGCAAGACTCCCTATGCTACCGAGAAGCAGGAGAAGAGTTCCATTACTAGTATCAGCAATGAGCAGAGCAAATAAGAAGGAACAGAGTGGGATTAGGGTAAAGAGGCAAAGCAGTGTCACCACTAGTATCCTTAACACCTTGGCAACGAGTGTACGCAACTTAGTGGACCCTCTGGACTGGGCCTTTTTTCCGTGGGGCCGCTAATTTGCGTACCTGTCTTTGTGCTGGGAGCACGCCACACAGTGCGTGTTAGTGAGAGCCCCGGGTCCCATTCTAACGATCGGGACCCGGAAATACTGATTCCGGGTCACATGATCGCTGTGAAAGCCTCTGATTGGATATCACCAGTGATCAGTCATTGTGAAGCCCACCCGTTTGTTTTCTCTCTCTGAATCGAGGAGAGAGATACATTGTATCTCTCTGTCCTTTCAGAAAGGAAAAAAAAAGTGTTTGCAAAAATAATAATAAAATAAACAAATAAAAAATATGAATAAAAAAAACAAAAAAAAAAAACCTAGATCAAGGTTTGATCTAGGCGAGTGCCAGAGTTAGAGTTTAGGACAAGGTCAAAAGTCAAGGTCAGTATATATATATTTTTTTTTAAATTTCTAAATTAGTATGTCAGTTAGTGGCAGGATGAAAGAGAAAAAAAAAAAAAAAAAAGAAGCAAAATATGCACTATTGTTTCTGGGCCGTACTACGGGTATAAAACAACTAACATACACATATGTGGTATTGCTGCGAACGTCAGGAGCAGGAGAAATTATTTTTGGTTGTTCTTTGGGGGTTGGTTATGGTAGTAGCAAGATATATACAACTATTTACCACCAAATGAAAGCCCAATTTGTCCTGAAAAAAAACAAGGTATAAGCTACCTGGATGCAAAAAGTAGTTGTGATGATATGTACAGTTTTGCTAACACATGTCAAAGTTGCAAAATTGTGCTTAGGCGTTAAGATTTTATTTTACCCTTAGGCGTAAAGGGGTTAAGAGAAGGCAACGAAGAGCAGAGCAAAAAGGAATCCTTTAATTATACTGATGGAGGTGATGTCTCCCCCCCCCCCCCCCCCCCCCCCCCCCCCCCCCCCCCCCCCCCCCCCAAAAAAAAAAAAAATTTTGCATATGGGCAGAACAGCGTCTTAGTGGGTAGCACTTTAGCACTTCTGCCCAGGTGCAATAGGGTCCTTGGTTTGAATCCCAACCAAGAGACGACCTTCAAAGAGCTTGCATGTTCTCCCTGTGCCATGTGTGGGTTTTATCTGGGTGCTTCGGTTTCCCCCATGCTTCAAAACACATAACCTGCCTAATTCGGCCCTAGTGTATGTATGTATGTAAGGTAGGGACCTTAGATTGTAAGTTCCTTGAGAGCAGGGACTTGTATGAATGTACGTATGTACAATAAGTAAACACTGCGTAAATTGTTGGTGCTATATAAATACACTGTTAGTGAATATAAAATAAGATGTTACCCAAAACATTTCAAATGGAAATTATACGGGGGGCAAGCTTAATTATTTACCGAATATACAAATATGTAGAACGCACAACAGGACAATTACCTTGAGTTGGTATTACAAATGGCTTACACATAGCACAGTCAAATCCACCATCAGCTGCACTCTCTACCTCTGCCTCTGTGTTTAGGTTTTGGCAGGTGCCATGAGACCACCTGAATACAAAACAAACATTGGAAGAAGAAATTTAAGCATTAAAAAGACTGCTCTCAACAAGAATTACTTAAAGCAGTATTAAGCCCAAAAGTAAAAAATGTTATATATTGCAGCTTACCAATCACATGTGGTGGCTGCATTATTTTCCTTTTTCCCCCCCCCCCCCTCTGTTTTCACCTGGTGATCTGGCCAGTAACACACCTTCTGTATTTGAGTGCCTCCACTCTGGATGAGGCAGCAAAGGGAACATATTTTAACAACAGCATTGTCAGTCTAAGGGTAGGGGAGTGTTAGATGTGCTAGTAGATTAGATACACAAAACAAATTGAATTTTCTTTTCTTTTTGGGATAAAGATTTTACATAAATAATTGCTAATCATTATACGTGGTAAATGGTTTATCCTAACCCTCTGACGCTTTATTTGGAGAGCTTTCTCTGTTAAAGGAAGCTGAAAACAGACTTAAGAGCAGAATCACCAGGTGGAAATAAAGGAAAAAAGCCTAAAAAAGAAAACGAATGCAGCCAACACATCTAAGAATAGGTGAGTTGCAATTTAATATATTGTTTTTGGTTTTATTTCCACTTTAATGGATGAAGCAAAGTACTTGCCTGTCACACTGCCTGCACTGGAGAATGATTTCATCTTCTATGTAGTTCTGGCCACACACTGGGCAGGTAGACAAACTAGCACATGGGGCACACTGTGTGTAATTGTTCTGCCATTCACACCGCAGCCCTGGTGTTATTGCTTTGCAGTTGTTACATGATACACACCTGATTAAAGGGAAAAAAAAAGTAACATTCAGGAGTTTCACCAAATTTATGAGGCTTCCACTATGCAAATGATTTTTTTTTCATTAAATAGTATTTAAGATGAAAAGTCATTTTTATTGTTCACATCCAAACTTGCCATACAAAACATCTAAACTGTATAACTCTTCAATCAGCAAAGCTCATTGTCCCTGCTGATTGTAAAGCTCTTGCTCTGACTGTTTGGATTTCTCCACAGAGTTCACCGCATCCCTTCAGAGAGCAAGGGCTTCACTGTGCAGCATTCTGGCAGGGGAAAGTGTTACTAAACCCACAACAGTAAAATCAGTTTATATGTGCAGTAACGAATGGTTTGTTATACTCACTGTGGAACCTAAGGGGTTAATCTTTTGCATTGTGTAGAAATGACAGTTGATCCCGTATTCTCTGCTCCTTCTCTTGTTCAAATGTCCACGTCTTATCTCATGATAAGACAAACTGAACCATAGCCATTTTGCACATGTTTAGTGTGTATTGCTAGAGGGTTTTTTTTTTTTCTTGGGCGAGTGCATGTGATCAGCACAGGGCCAATCAGCACTGTCCAGACAAAGGTCAGGGGTTTTGCATCCAGATCCAGCGATGTCCTCTCCTGAACTGATTCTTCAATCGGTTTTGGATGCAGGGGCCGGCATCTTAAGTAAGGGAAACCAGCAGTGAAGCCTTGAGGCTTCACAGACGGTTTCCTAATGTGCTGCACTTTGTGAATGGGTGGCAGTCTTCTGGGACTTGTCAAGAGTCCCAGAACGCTGCGGGGGAAGGAGGGAGGCCAAACGTCTGGCTCAGATCACCACGGCGCATCTGACCGAAGTGGGAGCCGGTACCTATCAAAATCAGGTACCCGCTTCCCCCTCCTCATCAAATAGTGCCAAATATCACAGTGGAGAGGGGGGAGGATGCAGACAAGCAGATCTTCCCTATTTGGGTTAAGTTCCACTTTAACCCTTTGGCGCCGACCCCCTTCCGGCCCTTTAAGGGTTCTAAAGGCCGGGAGGCGAAGCTGGGCCTTCTGGTTATGTGACTGCTATGACTGGTTGTCGCATGATTGGAAAGCTCCTGGTCGCAAGTATGCAACGAAAGCTTACCGATCATCGCCTGGCTACCATGCTGGGAGTGTGCAGGGAGCGCGCTCTCAGCACAGCAAGTAGTTTTAACAGGGCAGCATATATGCGACCACTTGGCATTAAAGCTCACACATCGATCAGCCACATATATGCGTGCAGCCGGAGTCAACAGGTTAAACTAATGAGTCCATCTATAAGGGCTGAAACACACCTTTGTGATATGCTTTGCTTTATCACATTATGTGCATTAGCACATTGCCAATTATTTTGTCATGCTCCAACATGTGTTACAGTGTACAAAAACGCAGAGTAAAACACTACTGTACATTGTGGTGCACAATGCATAAAAATAAATGCTTGTGTGAATACAACTTAATGCAGGACACAATACACTGAAATATGCATGTGTAAATGCAAAGCACTACTGTAACACCCCAGAATGTAGTGTGATTGAAGTGTGAATCCAGCCTAATTTTTCGGACAAGATTCACTAATTATCATGGGTGAATGTTCTGCAAATCTTGTGTGACAACATTTATAAACAAACCCCCAAGTGTTTGAGGTACTTAGTGGTTCTAAAGTCTTTTACTTAGGTGTTTTTTTTTTTTACCATAATGCAATCCCTCCCTTCCTCCCAGAAACACTTTGCTGAGCATGTCAGTGATCCAGCACTGTCCCAGCTGCAAGTCTTCTCTCCCCTCTCTGTGTCTTCTCACAGGGCTTGGAAAGCAGTGGGAGCCTTTGGCTCCTGCTTATGTCAATCAAATCCTGTGAGCAGAGAGTGGGAAGCAGGGCTGAGCCGCACTGTGTGTCTATAGACACACAGCCAAGCTCAGCAGAGAGCCCACAGGGGTGCTTGTGCGCCCATGGCAAGCAGCAGCCTGCTATGGGGGCACACAGGGACAACGAGGAGCCTGGAGCACTGGCGGGGGGCCCCAGAAGAGGAGGTTTAGGGGTCGCTCTGTGCAAAACCATTGCACAATGCAGGTAAATATAACGTTTATTTTTAAAATTTTTAAAAATTCTAGTGTTTACTTTAATGCTTAAAGATGACCTCTGGGCATTTCTGAAAAACACTATTTGATGCACCTACATCTTCATTAAAAAAAAAAATGAATATGAGGACCTCAGATGAAGTCACCCGTTTGAACAAGAAACAAAACTGTGTATTAACATTACTGGTGTCTACCTTTCTTGTCATTTTGGAAACCCCCTAGGTACTTGACTCCAGGCATTTCTAGCTTAAATGACCACCTCATAAAATCACAAAATAAAGTGAGGTACACAGTAGTGTACAGGGTAGTGTATGCTAACCTCCATTGCATCCATAGCTTTCAAAAGAGAGCTTTTAAAACCTATATCCGTGTTGCAGTACTGTTACTGCACACTGTTGGGACAATCCTTTAATCTGAATTGCAGATGTTCACCTGAAGCAGCGTATTAGGCTGACTACTTCAATTCAAAGGAAGCTCTGGACCATAAGGGCACATTTGAGATATGAGATGAGAGGTGTTTTGGCAGCTCAGTTCCCAGCAAACATGGGGGCAGGTGTCAAAATTATCCATAAGGCTAACCACTCACACTACTTTGATTTTGTGACATCATGGTGTTCTTTAAGATGTATTTAAGCTGTTACATTATATGCATTATGCTTTAAACATGGGAGGGGGGGTTGTAGAAGCCCCACTTAATTACTTTGTCTGCACAGCTGAATATCTTAATTAAGTCTTCCTTTCAAAAGGAAAGTGTATTCACAATTGTATTAATAAAAGAAAAATAAAAAGTAGAAAAAAAATGCAACTGCAGCTTCTTCAACTAAAAAACAATAACTATAGCAATGACAATGAATAAAACTAACCATTTACACTTCCATCCTCCTTTAGGGACAGTCTGTAAAGGTGGATCCAGGCAGTACGTATGGTAGCTAATGTCACAATCATCACATAGCAGCAGTCGGCCAGGATCTGTGGCCTTACCACAGGCCTCACACACTGTGCACTCCAAACACCTCCAGCCTTTACGAAGGATTACTTTACTTATCTGAAAATGTAATAAGAGTGACACATGCATTAACATATTCTAATAACAAAGCAGGTAGCAATGTCAAAAAATTTTAAAGACACATTCAAACACTGTGATCAAAAATAATAAGGGTTTGAAGTTGCAACACTTTTGTTAATTTAAAGTCTATGCATGGTCAAAAAGTATTCAATACATCTCTGCAATACATGCACATTTCCTTTAGTTATAGGTCTTAAAACATAGCGAATACAGAAAAATATCTTTTTATCCTGACAGAAATCCAGTGAACTCATGCTACTTTCAAGCTGTGTTGTCAGCCCTGTGGTGACTCTCCCCTGTTGGACTAACAGTACATATCACCTTTATGTTAGGGCAGTGGTGGTCTACCTGAAAATTTAACATGGTTTCAACTGCTGCCCCTGACACTTTCTTAGGGCTGCGCAATAAGAGCAAATTTTCTTGCATCAAGGTGCATTGTGTCAAGATAAACAATGATAAAAAAAGAAGAAATATCAGTGCACTAATGTATATTGTAACCAGTCCATAAGTCCCAATTAAGTCTGTAGTTGGTAACCGCTTTAGGTGGCAGTCATCCCAGAGTGAGCCAACTCTGTATGCATAATAAGAAACGAGAGAGAGGCGCCTTCTAAGTGCAGTATAAAAAGATATTTAATAAGCCACAAATGGTAAAACGTACAATGTGGAAGTGATAAAATAGCCCATCAGTTGTATTTATGGGCCATTGGGTAAAGTGAAGAATATTATGGAACCAAGTGCACGATTTACAGTAGCGTGTGGATCTCTATCGCCTCATGGAGTCCCCATGCAGTAAGGGTCCTGAACGTATAAATCCAAAAAGGTCTTGCGCTAGCATAAACGTTTTAAAACGTTCTTGGGAGAGTCCTGGGAATGGATTTGATCATCCAGACTGACAGACCTACAGTGGAATCCTGGTGTGCCTTGAGAGTGCCTTAAAAACACTATGTGCTATGAGACATCTGTGTTCGCCAAAGAGCTCAAGGTTCTAATGGTTCTGCCTACATAAAACTGGCCACATAGTCAGATGAGCAGTTATGGAATTCTTTGATGGTATATGTCTTGCCTTTGACTACAAAGTCCTTTTAGCCCATGTGTAATAAAAAGACACGCAAGACACAATTTTTTCTTGCACCTATACATACCCTTAAAGCTACGAAATGTGGTGAGCGGGCCTGAAGTGGTTTGTTGTGTTTTCACACAACAAGCCACTTCAGGCTCACGCTATAAAAAAAAACAACACACACACACACGGGCATGTATTGCAGAGATGCAGAGATTTTTTTTTTTCGGTCAGACATTATAAGGGACAGAAGTCTGCCTAAAAATCTGTGTTCAACTTTCAATTGTGCTTCCCTTGCTTATTATCTGAGAAAGACTCCGGCTGGTTATTACTTCAATACCGGGAACTTTTACCCCCCTTCCTGCCCAGGCCAATTTTCAGCTTTAAGTGCTCTCACACTTTGAACGACAACTGCACGGTCAAGCAATGCTGTACCCAAAATACATTTTTAGCATTTTGTTCGCACAACTAGAGCTTTCTTTTGGTGGCATTTAACCACCATGGGGGTTTTTATTTTTTGCTAAATTAACAAAAAAAGACAGAAAATTTTGAAAAAAGCCCATGTTTTTCTTTGTTTCTGTTATAAACGTTTACACATAAATCTGTAGGAAAGTTATAGCGTTTACAAACTAAGCAAAGGATTTCTTTGCTATAAAAAAGCATTTAACTGAAAGAAATCGATTAATTCAGGTTTTTTTGTTGTGATTAGCTGTGATTGGTCACAGCTAATCACATGACACAAATGGGCTGTGATTGGCCCAGTCTGTGCATGTGATCAATCACAGCTAGTGACAACTGTATACAATGGATGGCATGAAAGGAAGCCATCCATTGTTTTCAACTGTCATGTGACCTGCTATGATTGGTCACAGCAGGTCACATGGTACTGGCAATGGACCGCTACAGAGATCTGTCATCGGCTGTGTCCAAGGTACACAGCCGGTGACAGATCTCACCACAGCGCAGCCTGGGCGCTATCTAGGAAGGACGTAATATAATGCCCACCCGGATTGACGAGAGTCCCACTAGGCTGTCATTCTGCTATTTGGCCGGGTGGGAACAGGTTAAGATTTAGAATTTCCAAAGTCACACTGGTCATCAATGTTATCTTACGACATTCCTCTGAAATGGCCCAGGCAAATATCTTAGACTGATTATCTATACAGAAACATACATGCTGCTAAGTTTAATGAATTGACTAACAATAAAATGATCTTACTCTGATAGAAGGTGAATGTCACAGGTCAACATTTGAACTATACAGCATGCGCAATTTGGTAATAGATAATAACTTGGCTCCTGTAAAGTCACTGTAGGACATTTCACAAAACACTGATTTAGATGACAGTGTGAATGGGGGTAAGGGAGAGGAAAGAATTTATCACCAGGTCAATTTGAAGAAAAAAAAAAAAAAATCACTCAGTTAAATTGTGTGTTTTAACAAATTTCAAAGAATACTGAATTTTCATATTTGCAGAGTTATACCTGGAAACACAGATTAAATGTCAATGGTTAAAAAAAAACCCCAAAAAATAATTTCCACTTGGAAGCCTGAGAGGAGATCTGGGAAACCTATGCAGTTATTGTTACCTGAACACTAGAGATGAACTGCTTTATCTTATAATTATAGATTGGGTCTTTATTTACCTTAATACTGACACAGTATGGATGGTAGCACTGCCCACACTGTGAGCAAGCAAGTAGTCTTCCTTCAGCACCTTTACCAAAGCTACCGCACACTACGCACATATCCTGTCAAGCAAAACAAAAAAAAAAAAAAAAAAAAAAAACAAAAAAAAACACATTGTGAGGCTACTTTCCCATGTAACAAAACATTGACAGTGGCGATGTAATTGCACAAGATAACCTGTTTCATGCATATAATCAAAACATGATATACAAAATTAAAAACAAAAACACAAAAATGATGTTAATCTCTTAAAATTAATTAACATACAAGCCCCTTTCACATGGAGCAGATTTCATTGCAATCAGCAGGCGATCTGTGAGCTGATCATCTGTTGATTGGAGCAGAGTAGGAAGATGACACATCTGTGTCCGTTCAGCATCTGCAGAGCCACCATGGGCAGAGCCCGCACTGCTCTACGGGCAGCTGGGAGTAAGTGGACTCAGAATACCTGTCAAAAAAAGGGCCGTATTCTTTTCAAAATTCAAGTTTGTATACCTTTATAGCAATGTGTACATATTAAGGCCAGAAGCACTCCCATTGATCCAGCTGTTTTTGATACCTGTGAGTGGCCAGCTGTGGCCAACAAGCCGTACAGTTTAATGAAAGGTTGCCAGCAGCAAAAACTATTTGTGGATGTTCACACAGATAGCAATTACATGAGGTAATCGCTGCTGGATGCCATTTGCACCAGGCCAAACCGCTAGTGCAAACGCAGTGTAACATTTTGTCAGTGTTTTCTTTTTTTTTTTTTTTTTAGTGGTTTGCCCTTGCTGGGGGATTGTCCCACACTTCCAGTCTTGTAGCATAGACACTGGTAAAAGAAATAAGGGGAATAGCCGTCTCCAGGACAGGAAGGCACAGATAGCATTTCATTCTAGATGAACAGCAAGTAATGCCTCATCACTTTGTGCAAGTGCAATATTTCCTCTACACTCCTTTTCACTTTTTACTATTGCTGCCTTTTACTTTTCACTATTTTTTTTTTTTTTTACCATTTTAATGAAATTTTCAGCAGATGTTGCCTTTCAGACTATCTCTGAATGAACCTTTCACCATGCCATTTGAAAACATATACAGGAGGGGGTTGAATCATTGCTCTGCTCCTTCCTGTGGGTAAACCTTAACTTGGGCTACTGAGCTTGTGACACAAGCTTTTTTCCCCAAAAATATTCACAACATATTTTACATTTATCTAAAAAATAAACAGATTAGGGATGCACCAATATATCGGCAGCTGAAACATATTGGCCAAAAAATAGTGTTATCTCCATTTTGCTGATAGGAAAAAAGCTGCCGATAATGGTGGCGATACATGCAAAGTTACATCTCAGATACTTTCATGCAAAAAAGACCCCCAGTGAATTTAATGAAAAATTGTGTCTTATAGACTTTCATGCAACATCACATCCCTATTCACTTCAATGCAAAAACACCCCCTACTGACTTTAATGCAAAATTGTGTCTCAGACTTCCATGAGAAGTCACGTCCCTATTGACTTTAATGCAAAAATGCCCCCTAGTGACTTCAAAGCAAAGTCGCGTCCCCATTTACTTCACTGCACAAAAGCTTCCTAGTGACTTCAATGCAAAATCGCTAGCCACATTAAATTAAAAAAAAATTAATTTAAAAACTGTCCATTTCGGTCTTCGGCCAAGTGCATCCTCAATTTTTGGTTTTGGCACCAGAATTTTCATTTCAGTGCGCCACTAAAACAGATCGTTTAAAAAAGATATATGGTAACCTAATCTCATTTCTAGCTGAACAGAGTTGCAAATCCTTCGGCAAGAAAACAGTTTAAATGTGTAATCCAATTGTTTGTTTAGTTTTTTGCCAGGAGTTTTGCTTTAAATGGGGAAAAGGCTGCAGAAACCAAAGGTGCTAATATATATTATCAAACAGGCTTTATGAGGTATGGAAGTATTTTGCTCCTTTTAGGCTTTAAACAAAATTAGAACTTAATTTGGTTTGATCCTCTATGCGAAAATAATTACCAACCTGATGCAAGGTGAACTTGTCGCTTGTGGAAAATAAAACAACTGTGTTGTGCATTGAGGTTTCTTCCTCCTCCTTGTATGATGAAAGATCAATTGTGGTTACCTGCAGCAGGAACAAAGAACACTCAGAGGTCTCTCAGGATTATCCAGCATGCTCCAGCATTAGCACATCTTCCCAAACAAAACCTTCCCAGCCTTTCTGTAATACTAGTCACTACAACGCTAACACACATCAGTTTGTACCTTGTGACCTGTAACTTCAGCAGAATGATAATGTGAATATCTGCCTTTATACTGTGACAGCCTGTCTTCTACATGACCTACATACCACAGTCACCTACTAGACTGGTGAACTGAGAATTGGTAGGCTAAACAGAGAGGCATTCCATTTATATACAGTGCCTTGAAAAAGTATTCCTACCCCTTGAAATTTTCCACATTTTGTCATGTTACAACCAAAAACAAATGTATTTTATTGGGATTTTATGTCATAGACCAACACAAAGTGCAACATAATTGTAAAAAGGAAGGAAAATGAGAAATGGTTTCCAAAAAGTCAATACTTTGTAGAACCACCTTTCGCTGCAATTCCAGCTGCAAGTCTTTTTGGGGATGTCTCTACCAGCTTTGCACATCTAGAGAGGGATATTTTTGTCCATTCTTCTTTGTAAAATAGCTCAAGCTCTGTCAGATTGGATGGAGAGCGTCTGTGAACAGCAATTTTAAAGTCTTGCCACAGATTCTCAACTGGAATTAGGTTTGGACTTTGACTGGGCCATTCTAACACATGAATATGCATTGATCTAAACTATTCCATTGTAGCTCTGGCTGTATGTGTTAGGGTCGTCGTCCTGCTGGAAGGTGAACCTCCGACCCAGTCTTAAGACTTTTGCAGACCAGCAGGTTTTCTTCTAAGATTGCCCTGTACTTGGCTCTATCCATCTTCCCATCAACTCTGACAAGCTTCCCTGTTCCTGCTGAAGAAAAGCATCCCAACAACATGATGCTGCCACTACCACCATGTTTCACAGTGGGGATGGTGTGTTTCAGGGTGATGTGCAGTGGTTTTCCACCACACACAGCATTTTGCTTTTAGGCCAAAAAGTTCAATTTTTGGTCTCATCTGATCAGAGAACCTTCTTCCACATGCAGGGGCGGACTGACAACTCATGGGGCCCCCGGGCAATAGGGGATCATGGGGCCCCTGTGTCCTTGCCCAAACTCAAAAAAGCCTATAAAAAAGGTACCAGGGGCATCTCATGGGGCCCCCTACTGACCCCGACCCTCGGGCAGTGCTGAGTTTCCAAATGGTTATTCTGCCCCTGTCCACATGTTTGCTGTCCCCCCACATGGCTGCTCAAAAACTGCAAACGTCTTATGGCTTTCTTTTAACAATGGCTTTCTTCTTACCACTGTTCCATAAAGGCCAGATTTGTGTGCACAACTAATAGTTGTCCTGTGGACAGATTCTCCCACCTGACCTGAGGATCTCTGCAGCTCCTCCAGAGTTGCCATGGGCATCTTGGCTGCTTCTCTGATTAATGCTCTCCTTGCCCAGCCTGTCAGTTTAGGTGGACGGCCATATCTTGGTAGGTTTGCAGTTGTGCCACTTGCTTTCCATTTTCGGATGATGGATTGAAACAGTGCTCCGTCAGACGTTCAAAACTTGGGATTTTTTTTTTTATAACCTAACCCTGCTTTAAACATCTCCACAACTTTAACCCTGACCTGTCTGGTGTGTTCCTTGGCCTTCATGATGCTGTTTGTTCACTAATGTTCTCTAACAAACCTCTGAAGGCTTCACAGAACAGCTGTATTTATACTGAGATTCAATTGCACACAGGTGGACTCTGTTTACTAATTAGGTGACCTATGAACGCAATTGGTTCCACAAGATTTTAGTTAGGGGTATCACAATAAAGGGGGCTCAATACAAATGCATGCCACACTTTTCAGATATTAATTTGTAAAAGGTTTTGAAAATCATTTACCATTTTCCTTCTACTTCACAATTATGTGCCACTTTGTTTTCAAGGGGTATGAATTCTTTTTGAAGGCACTGTAGGTGGCCCTTTTACTATAGTGCACTTTTCTGGCAACTGTTAAGTTTGTCACAGTTCTCAAAATCAAAAGATGTGGTGCTCAACTCACAAAGTTAACACACTAAGATAAGTCCAATGAGATTTAAAATTTACAGTCACATAGCTAAAATAGTCCTTGTGTCAGAGCTTTGTAATTTGAACCTATCCTGTTCCCAGTGGAGAGAATGTAATAAGAATTAAATGTACCGAACCCAACTGTCCACCACAATGGTGAGCCTCAAGCAGAATATGGAATACAGTTGAAACTCAAAAAATTAGAATATTGTGCAAAAGTTAATTTATTTCAGTAATGCAACTTAAAAGGTGAAACTAATATATGAGATAGACTCATTACATGCAAAGCAAGATAGTTCAAGCCGTGATTTGTCATAATTGTGATGATTATGGCTTACAGCTCATGAAAACCCCAAATCCACAATCTCGGAAAATTAGAATAATGTGAAAAGGTGCAATATTCTAGGCTCAAAGTGTCCCACTTTAATCAGCCAATTAAGCCAACACCTGCAAGGGTTCCTGAGCCTTTAAATGGTCTATCAGTCTGGTTCAGTAGGAATCACAATCATGGGAAAGACTGCTGACCTGACAGTTGTGCAGAAAATCATCATGGACACCCTCCATAAGGAGGGAAAGCCTCAAAAGGTAATTGCAAAAGAAGTTGGATGTTCCCAAAGTGCTGTATCAAAGCACATTAATAGAAAGTTATGTGGAAGAAAAAGGTGCACAAGCAGCAGGGATGACTGCAGCCTGGAGAGGATTGTCAAGAAAAGGCCATTCAAAAGTGGTGGGGACTTTCACAAGGAGTGGACTGAGGCTGGAGTCAGTGCATCAAGAGCCACCACACACAGACTGATCCTGGACATGGGCTTCAAATGTCGTATTCCTCTTGTCAAGCCACTCCTAAACAACAAACAATGTCAGAAGCGTCTTACTTGGGCTAAAGAAAAACAGACCTGATCTGTTGCTCAGTGGTCCAAAGTCCTCTTTTCTGATGAGAGCAACTTTTGCATCTCATTTGGAAACCAAGGACCCAGAGTATGGAGGAAGAATGGAGAGGCACACACTGCAAGATGCTTGAAGTCCAGTGTGAAGTTTCCACAGTCTGTGTTGATTTGGGGAGCCATGTCATCTGCTGGTGTTGGTCCACTGTGCTTCATTAAGTCCAGGGTCAACGCAGCCATCTACCATTTTGGAGCACTACATGCTTCCTTCCGCAGACAAGCTTTATGGGGATGCGGACTTCATTTTTCAGCAGGACTTGGTACCTGCCCACACTGCCAAAAGCACCAAAACCTGGTTCAATGACCGTGGGATTACTGTGCTTGATTGGCCAGCAAACTTGCCTGACCTGAACCCCATAGAGAATCTATGGGGCATTGCCAAGAGAAAGATGAGAGACATGAGACCGAACAATGCAGAAGAGCTGAAGGCCGCTATTGAAGCATCCTGGTCTTCCATAACACCTCAGCAGTGCCACAGGCTGATAGCTTCCATGGCACGCCGCACTGAGGCAGAAATTGCTGCAAAAGGAGCCCAAACCAAGTACTGAGTACATATGCATGCTTATACTTTTCAGAGTTCCGATATTGTTCTATGTACAATCCTTGTTTTATTGATTGCATGTAATATTCTAATTTTCTGAGATTGTGGATTTGGGGTTTTCATGAGCTGTAAGCCATAACCATCACAATTATGACAAATCACAGCTTGAACTATCTTGCTTTGCATGTAATGAGTCTATCTCATATATTAGTTTCACCTTTTAAGTTGCATTACTGAAATAAATGAACTTTTGCACGATATTCTAATTTTTTGAGGTTCACCTGTAGATGCTTATGGCAGTAGTAATTCCCACCATAAATTCCCATAAATTGCTAGTGAAATGATGCATTTTTTCAGAGGTTAAATGGATTGAGGATACAGAAACCTATGGCGTTCACAGTTCACAGAATGCCATAAAAATTAAATGTGCAGAGCGCAAAACTGTCCAACTGCAACAGTAAAACCACAAGCACAGAATGTGGTGCCATCAGAGAAAAGTATTTCCTCTATAAAATTCAGCCTCACCTACATAATGCAACATTATTCATTTTTAGGGTTGCTGATGAAGAAATGCAGCAGGTATTGCAACTCACAACATAAAAATTCCCAGTACACCTACCAGCCAGCCTGCAAAACAACCAAATTGACAGTGTCTAACAAGTCACATTAAAAAAAACAGAGGGTTTTAGTTGCACAGAATTGCAAATATATGCATAAGCCGCAGTGCCCATGTCAAGGCAACTCTGTGTACTGCGGTCCTAACTCTATAATTTTCAGAGTCTCCCAAATTGGAGCACATCTAGCAGTGGATAGATTAAGAGCAGGTGTGCCTGGAGGGAGCCCATCCCTCAAAGGCACAGGGCTAGTAACAGATGCCCAGCAAAAGCACAATGACAGCTAAAGGAATCCAATATGTCCCGATGCAAATAAAACACACTGTTTGTAATGTAAATATTTAGACAGCATCATTTTGGTTGTTTTGCAGGCTGGCTGGTAAGTGTGCATGAAAATCTTTAGTTTGTTTGTGATGTGCATTGCCTTTCCATGTGCACCTTACTGCAAAGGATAGTTACAGGGTGGGGTGGTTGTCACTTTTTTGGACAGTGGGTTGAATTGGGTGCCCAGTCTTCAAAAAGACACAGCCTCTACGTGGTGCTACTGGAAGAACTTTACCAAAAAAATTTTAATTTTCTATACACTGGCATAGCAGTTATTTTAGATAATCAATGCACTGAAGATACCAACTAAATTCAGTGATCAATGCACTGATTGCTTATTGAAGAAGCAAATTAAAAAGTGATATTTCGTACCCCTGGAATTATATAGTTGCCTATAGGTGTTTTTAATTTTGATCGTCCTCTTCCGCCACGGCCAGAGAGTCCAGAACCTCTTGGTCTCCTCCTTGGAAATCCTGAGCCTCGACCCTTAAAATAACAGGTTAAAAAAAAAACAGAAAAGAAAAAAAAAAAAAAGATTAAATTCTTGCAAAATATAATAATAAATCAACACATATATTACAGGGATGGAGGAGACAAGGAAAAGTATAGGGGGAAAAAAAGATAATATTGGGGGAATTGAAAAAAAGGAAAGTGTCAACAATGTTCACAGCAAACAGATCATGACTCATTACTTTATTGCAGATTAAAAAAGAGTGAGCGTTTGATTGATTCCTACAACCAACGCCTCTAGGTCTACATTTTCCTTTCTTTTAATTGATAATTTCCCTATATATTTATTATTCTGTTATGCAATGAGGCTTACATGTTGTTTAGCGGAGACCCTGTTGTACATGATGTTACAATTCATAAGTATATTAACACAATTCCACAAACTAACCACCATAGACCTGAGACTCTTACATGTAGTTCCACACTATTATTTAGAGATCACAAGTTAGAAAAATTAATCAGTCAAAAGCAAGCAGAAAACTTTTTTCTTCAAAAATAAAAATGTATATACTTGGACTCAAAATGAAATCATCATTGGTAGAAACAAAAGCAAAAAAAAAAAAAAAAAAACCACTAAAATCATTTTGGTTCTTACAATCAAATGCAAAAATGTATTGTGATTCTCAAGTTTCTTACGAATATGCACCAGTCACATTTTTTTTTCTGCATTTTCAACTGTTTAGTAAATATGTAGTCAAAAAAATTATTTGTTCCCTGCAATTATTATGTTAAATTGTCTCAAAAATGCACTAGACACAATTCAGTACTATGCAAAAAAGGCTAATTTGGCCAGGAGTGCCCAAACTTTGCGAAAAAGCTATGAATGAAATGTAAAGGAAACCTGCACTGAAAGAAAATTGTAAGTTGCCATCGCCAATTTTATGAAAATGCTAGTTACTTAGCAATCTCACTGACCCTGTAGGAGGTTGAAGATTGTAATGATAGCAAGGTCAGAAAATCTGCTCTGTGTAGTTTTCCTAGGGCGGTGTTAGATCAGCATTGAAGTCCCATATTGCCAACATTTTAAGAAGAAGGGTTGTACAACAGCAGACCCTTACTAGGAGAAAAATGGGGCTGTCATTTGTAAACCTCATTCTGAAACTGTTAGCTCCCTGGCTAATTAATTTCACAAAAAAAACCCCAAAAATATACAACACTTATGAGTGTGCAAAAAGAACAATAAGATTTACTAAATAACCAATAATCCTTTAACCAAATTATACACAGAACCACTGAATTAGAAACCAAAGAAAAAATATAAAAAGTTAACTATATTATTCAATATAAATAAAATTATGAAAGTAAAGGAAAATGCCGAACATACAGAAAAGAATGTTGCTTTAGAACGCATAAAATAATTTTTAGATTTAGTTTACTTTTTAAGCATTTTCAATTTTTTTTGTGTGTGCGCCATAGCAGGGTTGTTTTTGGCTCATTCTGCATTTTCCTTTGCTTTTAACATTTAGTCCTCACACTGGACGATTCTACAGCTGCTGGTTTTGGCTTTTGGCATTTTTTTCTACAGCCAGTAAACTCCACAGCATGTTATCCTATGTGTCCATGCATACAGACTGTAATCAGCGTTTTTTGGCTGGAAAAAAACCCCAAAACTAGTGGGTTTCTAGAGGAGTTTTTTAGCTGTAATAATGCTCTAATGTGGCAAACCACAGCAAAATGGTGTTTTTGGACATATGTTTGAACAAGAAAAAAAAATGTCCTTTTGGTAAAAAAAAAAAAAAAAAACAAAAAAAAAAAAACACAGCTAAACGCTAATGCAAAAACACAAAAAAAAACTCACGTTTTTAACGTGACTTTACAAAGCTAACTTTACCAGAGTTATTAAAACGCCCAGTGTGCATGGAGCCTTAATATTATAGAACCCTTTGGACTGAATAGGTGTCAACTAGAACCACATCCCGTAAAGCACATCAAAAATAAAACTGCTTATTGGGACTTTTAAGGTGCACCTTTAATTGTAATAACAGACTTATTGAACTTGCATTTAAAAGGCTTTTCTTGTCTTGTTTATTATGCAATACAAAATTGTTAAAATATTCGATAGACATAAAATACCCATCAACTGTACAATGTCACATGTTATGCATCACTATACAAATCATGCCTCTATATACCAACTCCTATATCTCACAAAACATTTTGTAGCAAAGGAACGGTAGGACGACAAACCGGTAGTGAGTGAAGAAAACAAGAGAGAAAATATATCATAAATTGCCACATTTACTGTACAAAATTTAATATATAGTAGCGACCACGTCTTTTAACCTCTTGCCGACCGCGCATAGCCAAATGACGGCTTCACCGCGGCCGGCCAGTTCTGAGTGGACGTCATATGACGTCCTCCCAGAACGCGCTCTCCTGCGCGCCCAAGGGGGCGCGCACCCCCGGTGATCTCCGTGATCGCTGTGTCCTACGGACACAGCTGATCACGTGATGTGGTGAAAGGCCGATCCCACCGGCCTTTTACCACGTGATCAGCGGTGTCCAATGACACGCTGATCACAGGGAAATGCAAGTGCCGGTTCTCGGCTGCACTTTCCTCACGCTGTCAGATCGTGAGGAAAGTACTGCCGAGAACCGGCAGTTGTCAGAGCGGGGATCGGCACCGATCATCAGGGCACTGATGATCAGTGCCCTGATGATCGGTGCCCAGCAGTGACACCCGCAAGTTCCGCCCAGCAGTGCGCCAACTAGCCCCGCCCACCCATTCCCAACAGTGCCCCCACCTGTGCCCAGCAGTGTGCCCCAGTGCACCCACCTGTGCCCAGCAGTGCACCCACCCCACCAGTGCCACCCACTCTGCAGTGCCACAGTGCCACCTACCTGTGCCCAGAAGTGCCACCTACATGTGCCCAGCAGTGCCACCCACCTGTGCCCACCAGTGCCACCCACCTGTGCCCACCAGTGCCACCCACCTGTGCCCACCAGTGCCACCCACCTGTGCCCACCCCCCAGTGCCGCCCACCAGTGCTGCCAGTCAGTGCCACCAGTCAGTGCCCAGGGGTTGTGCCAGTCAGTGCCGCCAGTCAGTGCCCAGAAGTGATGCCAGTCAGTGCCGTCTATCAGTACCCATCATCAGTGTCACCTATCAGTGTCGCCTATCAGTGCCACCTATCAGTGCCGCCTATCAGTGCCGCCTATCCGTGACCCCTAATTAGTGCTGTCTATCAGTGCCGCCTATCCGTGCCACCTCATTAGTACTGCCTATCAGTGCCCTTTAGTGCTGCCTATCAGTGCCCATCAGTGCCGCCTATCAGTGCCCATCAGTGCCGCCTCATCAACGCAAATCAGTGAAGGAGAAAAAAATACCTGTTTGAAAAATTTTATAAAAGAAACAAACTTTTTTTTTTCAAATTTTTTGCACTTTTTTTAATTTATAGCGCAAAAAGTAAAGCGCCCAGTGGCGATTAAATACCACCAAAAGAAAGCTCTATTTGTGAGAAAAAAATGATCAAAATTTCATATGGGTACAATGTTGCATGACCGCGCAATTGTCAATCAAAGTGCGGCAGCGCTGAAAGCTGAAAATTGGCCTGGTAAGGAAGGGGGTATAAGTGCCTGGTAGGCAAGTGGTTAATATACCAAGGTATAATTCACACCTGTACCACAGAGAACATTCCTGTTTTTACAAAGAAGGTCCACATAAGAATCTTGACACATTTTGAAGACACTCCTCCTTAAGAAGCACACGTGGACACAAATGATGTCCAAGAACATGGGTCAATGCATTAAAACCATGTCATAAGACCATAATCTAGCAAGTGAGCATACATAATGAAGCAGCAGGGAGCATATAAAAGAACCATAAATTCATGCATGTGGCACCAGCAAATACCATAAAATACCACTCATACAAGTGGGGTATACATATGTACAAAGTAAGTGCATCAATTGGTGTCTATGGGTGCATGGTCACAAATAGTAGTGGGACAAAACAATCATAAATGAAGATTATAGTTGTGGTTTTTGCATAATCTTATGTATATCGCACATCCATCACGGGCTGCCCACTGAAAGTCTGTCCATGAGCAGCCCCTATGATGTATGTGAGGTGAATTTATGATGCTTTGCTCCCTGCTGCTTCATCGTGTTTGCTGACTCACCGGAATCAAGTCTTATGACATTGACAATGCATTGACCCATGTTCTTGGACATGGTTCCTGAAAGTTTTTTGAAACGCGTCAAGTTTCTTATGTGAGAAATCTATTAAGATTTTTGTTCGATGGATCATTTCTCTACTAGTCTACTAATATGTAATATGGGCAAGGGGGTCGCAGGAAGGAGAGAAAGGAACATTTATAAGTTGTATAATAAAATTATTCTCTTATCCCCCTTTTTTACATTTCAGTAGTGCAGTCTACGGGGTTGCTGGTTGATTAGTAACATAGAAGTCTATATCTGCAAAACATACTTGCTTAGGCTGGTTTCACACTGCTGCACTTAAATTTTGCAGCAATGCGGGTGTATCCTCAGTTTTCATACGTTTTACCCGTGGTTTTAGCATTGGTCCCATAGACTTTTGACTGCACATTTTCAAAGCACATCAAAAGTCCTGCATGCTACATCTTTGGTGCTCCTTCAGAAAACATGCCAAAAACTTGTGGCCTAATCAAGAATCTATAGGGCTTTGGCTAAAACTGAGTAAAACATGTGCAAACCGCAGGTACACTAATGCTGCAGCCAAATCAAAGCAAAGCAGTGTGGAACCGGCCTTAGGGATTCAAAGTATTTTCAAAGGAGTCATTTGGAATGGCGGCCACCTAGTACCATTAAGAAAAGACATTCCTAATGAAACATAACTATTTTACTTTAATATTTCCATGAACCAGGGGAACCAACTATGCTTGCGTGTTTATACATGCAATTTGTAGGCCTAGCTCATCATTACAAAGCCTACTGATCAGATATATGAGAGAGCTGACCCACTTCCTAAATGAATAACATTTCTCATTCAATTA